TATAAAACAACAACCTGAGAAAGAAGCATGCATGTAACGGCGTAAACGAATGCAGACAGATTGTAAAAATATATATAGCTTTAATGGCGAAATAGACTTACAGAACCACCGTTCCTGCGGAGACCAGGAAAGCAGAAAAGGGACGGCTGGGAGCACGCTTGCCAAAATATAGGCCAACATTAGCCCGAGGCGAACACTTCCCCTAAGGGGCGGGACTTATCCCTACACGTGCATTTGAAAGGAAGGATATACGTGGAAAGAATTGGAGGGAGGAAAGGGAAAGAGAGAATTATGTAATTATCTTTTAATTTAAAAAGAAAAATATTTAAAAAGCAAAAAATAAAGCAAAGCAAAAGTAAGAAAATTAAAAATAAACAAGAAAGTGGATATAAATTTCAGAATTAAAATTAGCATTTTCTCTTGTTTATACTCCTTGCTTAAACTATTATGAAAAGATAGCTAGGCATTGGTGGCCCATGCCTTTAATCCTAGCACTCTGGAGGCAGAGGCAGGCAGATCTCTGGGAGTTCAAGGCCAGCCTGATCTACAAGAGCTAATTTCAGAACAGACTCCAAAGCTACAGAGAAACCCTGTCTCGAAAAACCAAAATAAACAAAGAAATAAATAAAATCGAAATAAAAAATAATAGTTTTCTCCCTAAGAATTTATCCTTAGGAATTTTTTCTTTTCATTAATTCTCCACCTGCTGCATTTAATCTGTTTCTTTAAATTCTAATTTTACTTCTAGAGACCTTTTAGTTTTTACTCTTTTTCAAATTCTTGCCAGTAGTTGTTCTTCTAGGCATGCTAGGTGCCTGCACATAACAGAATTCTGTATATGCTTCACCTTTATCTTCCCCTTTTTCATAAGTTATCTATTGTGCAGGACTCTTTATCATCTATGGTCAGTTTTAAGATAGTCTAAAAACATTTTGGCATCAATTTCCAAATGTAAGCATTTTCCAGTATTGTTTTTCCTACCCTTGGAGACACCATGTTAGTCTGGTTTAGTTTATACTGTTTTGTTATCTTTGACTCTGTTTGTACTCTTTCCTCTACAATGACTATTGTGATCAAAGTTTTGTGTAGTAGTTTCAATAGGAATGGCCCCCATAGACTCATGTGTTTGAATGCCTGGCCCATTGGAAGTGGCACTATTATTAGGAGGTATGGTCTTATAGGAGGACATGTGTCACTGCGGGGGTTGACTTTGAGGCCTTTAACACTCAAGTTAGGCCTAGTGAAACACAGTCTCCTTCTGTTACTTGCAGATCAAGATGGAGAACTCTCGGCTTTTTCTCTAGTACCATGTCTGTCGGCACACGGCCATGCTTCCCGCCATGAAGACAATGTACTAAATGTCTGAAACTAGAGGCCAGCCTGAAGTAAATGCTTCACATTATAACAGCTGTTATGGTTTTAGTGTCTCATCACAGCAACAGAGACCCCAACTAAGATGGTTACATTCTTAAAATATGTGAATGTTCATGTCTTATCTTTAAAATTACCCATGTGTTGGAGGGTATTAATTAAATCACTGCTTGGCCCATTAGCTCTATCTTCTTATTTGCTAACTCTTACATATTAATTTAATCCATTTCTATTAATTTGTGTTTCGCCACATGGCAGTGGTTTACCAGGTAAAGTTCTCAGCATCTGTCTCTGGCTGATGCTACATGGCATCTCTCCAACGCCACTTCCTTTCTCCCAGCATTCACCTTAGTTTTTCCTGCCTAGCTCTGTTCCCCTATAGCTCTGCTGTAGGCCCAAAGCAGTTCCTTTATTTATCAATGGTAATCACAGCACACAGAAGGAAATTCCACTATACCCCATGATATTGTATTTCCTGTTAAATGTGAATCCCAATGAATTTCTCAAACAAGGCTACATGGAGAAATTACTACCCATGATCCTGTTTGTGGAATTGGGCTTGCAGCTGTCTCCTTGTCCACTTACATATTCTACAAAAATCATTTTGTTGGTTTTAATTCTTACCTTAAGTTAATAAATTCTCACTGATTCTCTAAAATTCTTTCCATTTTTTTTTTTTATGAACCTGTTCTTGACATTCCTTTTCTCCATTTCCCCCTCTAGAGCTGTATAATGTTACTGGCATTTTGCATGTATTTTTGCATGTGTGTAATCATAGTTGTCTTTTTTCATCTGAAGATTTAGATCTGCTGCTAAGTTTTGTGTAGTCTCTTTAAGGAACTTTGCCATTTGTATCCTTCAAGTCCATACTTACGTGGTCACACATACTTGCTCTCTATCTTTTTAAAATAAATGAATCGGTGATGAATTGAGCAACTCACTCGGGCTACTAGGTGACAATCATTTTCCATGCTTCACTGTGTGTATACCTTGCATAAAAGTTCTTAGAGAAATGGGCGTGTGTAAATTAAAGTTTAAAATCTCTCATCCAAAATGAAAGTTTCTCAACTAACTGCTTCTCCATGTGGTCATTGATTTTGCTAAGCATGAGTCAAAGATGTCTTAAATTGTACACCAATGCAGTCAGACTGATGGCCTTGGAAGTGTGTAAGAAACACGTTTAAATTCCTTCTTTAGGATGCATTTCACATCCAGAGATTACGGACTCTGGGAAAAGTATACTTACTTTATTCATGCTTGACTCTTTCCCATATAAACATTGGCTTAATTTCGTTTTCATGTGTGAGACACACAAAGAATTGTTATTGAAAGTGACAGAGAATGCCAGGTATGTGCTGCAAAGTCAATGAAAGCCCAAGGAGGGTGGTGGTGATCCTGTGTGCAGTGTGGCATATGGTCTGGCTCTCCGCTTTGTAGAGGCATTTCTTTGGACCAAACAGCATTTCATCAGTCATGCATAAAGATTACGGAAGGTTGGAATTCTGCACATTAATATAAAATGTGATAAATTATTTCTGGTCATTGTTACTTTATTTCTCATACTTTTTCCTATTCTCAAATCATTTGATTCAAGCTCAGAGCTCTTGAGCCTGACACTTGACTACAAAATTATGTATATATTTCTAAGACAAAGAAAGTTACTCACAAGGCTCAAAAAACTAGGTCCCCAATTTAACACTTGTCAGAAGTATTAGCACTTATCACATTTTTTATTCCTATTTAAGTATGGCACTTATGTCCGTGTCTGTGTAATATAAATGTTACTTGACCCAGAAAGTTATTCTTCCTAGGAAGCATTGGCAAAACCTGCCAAAACAGCTCTTGAACACTTTGTTGTGACAAGACTTATTTCTTCTTTTGTGCAAGATTTGAAACCAGAGCCACAAGCATTTATATTGGCAATAATTCGCAGACAGATTTTTGGCTAAGGCTTGCACACACACACACACACACACACACACACACACACACACACACACCACCTTCAGATTCAGCCCATTTCCAGTTGGCTAATTTTTTTAACGTGTTAAAATCGCCCTGTGTTCTGAGTGTGCTCTCTGATGCAGATATTCTGTTTTAGGGCACACAATCACAAGTCTGTGCATGATTAAAATCATAGCATGTCTGGCCAGAGTTCTTAGGTTTAATTCTTCAGCTTGACAGATAAGCTATAAATTACACTAAATACTTTGAGGTAGAAACTATTATGTAGTCAGTGGGAGTTTTTCTAATAAAGTAAACCCCTAGGGCTCTGATATGGCTCTTTTATTTTCTAATGGTATTGTAGCAAGACTGAGTTCAAGTACAAAACAAACAAAACCAAGATAAAGCACGAAATGTGACCCTGAGTAATTTAAAAAGAGAAGGGTTTTTTTTTTTTTTTTTTAGTTTAGTTTTGTTTTTGTTTGTTTGGTTTTTGCTTGAAAAAAGCTGGTAGCAGGAAACCCAGCAGAAAGCAAGACCTCTTCACTGTGCGGTCCTCACATGGCGTCTCTTATCTTTGCCTCTTTGATCCTGCTCACCAGAGTTTTCTTCTTCCAGGCTTTTAACTCCTATGTTCTAGGGTTGAAGAAGAGGAGAAAGAAAAATGAAATATCCTTTTTCTAATGGAACTTTGCCTTTTTACTTGGAACAACACCATCTCCCTTAGGAATTCTTTCCATATCTCATTGACCTAGCTGGCATGCAGCCATATCTAGCTCCAAGAAATTCTGAGAAATTTTGCAATGTCAGAGTCATTAATAAAGGAGCATTGGGAGAAATATGCTTTGACATGATACTTTTGTTTTTGTTTTTTTTTTTGTTTTGTTTTGTTTTTTTGATACAGGGTTTCTCTGTTCAAGAGTCCTGACTGTCCTGGAACTCACTTTGTAGACCAGGCTGACCTTGAACTCACAAAGATGTGTCTACCTTTGCCTCCCAAGTGCTGTGATTAAAGTCATGCACCACCACTGCCCAGATGCCATGAGACTTTTAAAGTAGCCTACAACTGTACAATATTTCACTATTTCAGAATCTTCCATTTGCCCTTTCAGATCTCCCCAACTGTCTTGACTTTATTACCTAATTCAAAGGCTGGTCTCTTTTACTACATCAATCAGGCTACATACTTTCCTAAGATCGTTTTCTCAGAGTTGGGACTTTAAGTAGACAGGTTATATTGAGAAAGTAGGCGATGTTAAAAATAAAATAAATCACACACATAACACGGGCTAAAGGAGGCAGTTAGGAGATAGGAGGCACTACAGAAGAATGTGGTTGCTAGTGAAGTCTACCTTAGCATCCCATGGGATGTCTGGAATACTGCTGTGTAATAATCCTTCTGTAAAGTGTAAAAATGTATTGCTCTCACTGTTAATAAAAAGCTGATTGGAAAATAGCTGGGCAGCGAGAGATTGAGGAGCAATCCAGTCTAGGAGGCTGCTGGGAAAAAGAAGGGTGGAGTCTTGGGAGTTGCAGGAGGCACAGAGAGAAGCAAGAAGAACATGCAGTGTTGAAAGAAGGCACTGCCATGGTGGGTAGATGAATACAGGCTAATTTAAAATTTAAGAGTTAACTAGTTAAGCCCGAGCTATCAACCGGGCTTAGATAATTAATATTAATTCTCCATGTGCCAGGGTGGTGACTTCACACGCCATAATGGCACTGGCGGCAGATCCATCTATGGAGAAAAATTTGAGGATGAGAACTTCATCCTGAAGCATACAGGTCCTGGCATCTTGTCCATGGCAAATGCTGGACCAAACACAAACGGTTCCCAGTTTTTTATCTGCACCACCAAGACTGAGTGGCTGGATGGCAAACATGTGGTCTTTGGGAAGGTGAAAGAAGGCATGAACATTGTGGAAGCCATGGAGCGTTTTGGGTCCAGGAATGGCAAGACCAGCAAGAAGATCACCATTTCCGACTGTGGACAACTCTAATTCTTTTGACTTGCGGGCTTCTTACCCACCAGACCATTCCTTCTGTAGCTCAGGAGAGCACCCCAGCCCCATCTGCTCGCAGTACCCTGTAATCTCTGCTCTCACTGAAGTTCTTTGGGTTCCATATTTTCCTCATTCCCCTTCAAGTCTAGCTGGATTGCAGAGTTAAGTTTATGATTATGAATAAAAGCTAAGTAAGAATTGTAAAAAAAAAAAAAAAAAAAAAAAAAAAAAAAAAAAAAAAAAAAAAGTCTCCATGTCAGTTATTTGGGAACTGGGAGTCAGGAAAGAAAAGTACATCTACGGAGTATAAGTGGAGCTAAAATTTTTTAGGGTATTTTCAGACCTGAGACAAGGGAGCAGGGCTTTTAAATGCTTTACTGTTTACCCCTGGTCATTGACTGCTGGGTATGCCAAGGAGGTAGTACTCCTGGACAATTTTAAGAACGGTAGCTTCAGTCACTCAAAGTGTCTTAATTAGGGTGTCTATTGATGTGATGAAACTCTGACCAAAAGCAAATCAAAGAGGAAGGAGTTTATTTAATTTTCAACTCTCAGGTTATACTTCATCATTGAGACAAGGCAGTGTAGGAACTCAAACCTGGAAGCTGAAAGCAGGAGGTGATATAGAGGCCATGACAAAATGATGTTTACTGGCTTGTTCCTCATGACTTTGTCAGTCTGTTTTCTCTTACACCCAGAAGTGCATCATCCACAGTGAGCTGGATAGACAATTCCATCATTAACAGCAAAATTAATTTAAAAATGGTTATGCTCGTAGTGACTGATTACAAACTAAGCAAAGGGGATCTAGATTTTAATATTTTACTTAAATATTATTTTAAAAATATGTAGAGGTTGGAGAGATGGCTCAGCAGTTAAGAACACTTTCTGCTCTTCCAGAACAGCTGAACTAAGTTCCCAGCAACCACATGACAGTTCATCACCACCAATAACTCCAATTCCAGGAGATCTGATGCCCTCTTCTGGCTTATTAAGACACTCCCCACATGGTGGACAAACAGACATATCTATAAAATAAAAATAAACAATTTTTTTAAAAAAATCTAATCAATTTTTTTTTGGTAAATTTCTTGGGAAATTACATATAAAATGTGTATCATAAGTGAAATATGTGAAAAAACTTATGACTGAAGTTAAAGTTCTCATACAAATAATCTTTAAGTGTTTCCTTGAATATTTTTCTCTGGACCACAGACAAAATAAAATATTTATTGAAGAGAAATTTAGAAAAATAGTATGTAATACATTTATTTTTATAATATTCTGGCACTGAAATCTTATAAAACAGGTCTTAAATACTCTGGGGACATAATTATTACCTTAAGAGGAGGCAAAATTGCTGCATGGATGACAGTGACTTAGATGATACATTTAAAATATTTTGTAATAAATTCTGTAATGATGATCAAATATGACCCCATTACAATGATTAAACATGATTTGTAAAATTCATGATTAATTTACAAATACAAGGAGTGCTTTAAAATGCCATTTAAAATTCCAGGTACTACTTTGTCAGCAAAATGAAATTTCTCCTAAGTGGAAATTAATTAAAATAACCCATCAAAGAGCTACAATGTCCTGAGAAAGAATGGTTAATCCGTCAATGCTGTAAATAATACACCGTTATATGAAAATATTGACTATAAATATATAATTGGTGATTTGCTAAAGTGAGTGGAAAAACTTTATTAAAATGTAATGTTTGTCAATTATGAGTCTCCTGGTCTTATTATTTGATTAAACATAATAGACTTAACAGAAAGTTCAGATAAACACAATCATAATTAAATTGTCCTACCTTTGGCTGACTCACAGCCATTTAAAAACTGTTTCATGATTATAAATGCACATAGACCAATACTAATTTTGTTATTCTTATGGTATATGTGCCAAACCAAAAGAACAAAATATTTTGTTTGTGAATTATTTGTCTTATTTATCATTTTTAAACAAACATTTGTTATATACTTTTCTTTTTTCTTTTTTCTCCAGAATCAGAAATGACGGTACCTGTCTCCCTCTGTACTCAAGGCAAAATGCAAATATTTGACATCTAATTTCCTTTGTGCTTTCAGCTACCATAACAAACACTATTTGCAGTTAAATGAGGCTTAAGAAGCTGTGCTTAAGGTCTTAACAACAGAGTGGTTGAGTTTCTTTTATTTTGAAATTTTGAGGAACCAGGATGCAATAATGGAGACCTTTGGTGGGGAAGCAGCCTCCTTGCTGCTATGGTCACACAGTCATAGGATGCGTGGAGCTGAACAACAGAGAGGTTTACTGTAGTCTACTTTATAAATATTATGTATTTTTAATGGCAACAGAAACAGGGTCTCAAATAATAACAGTGAAATTATCAATACGAAGAAAGAAAAGTGGGAACATGCTCACTTATAGAGTTATGCTAAAATGAATCACACTTGTGTTGGGGAGATGGTTTAGTGGGTAAGAGCACTCGCTTTGAAAGATGAAACTGTGTGTTCAGATGACCAGTATTCATATGAAAAGCCCAGGCAAGACTGTTTGTGATAGGAATCTCTGAATGGGGAGCAGGAGGCAGTGGATGAGGAAGACACAAGTGAATCCCAAATCCATTCTAATCCAAGAAGTGAGCTTATTTCAGTGAGAGACATTCTCTAAATAAATAAGGCACAGAACACAAATTGTTCTCTAAATAAATAAGATACTTAGCATTCTCCTGTAGCTTTTGCATGTGTACACAGGAGCAAACCACACACACACACACACACACACACACACACACACACACAGCCTACACATATAAGCATGCAAACGCAGAAACCATAGACACCTGTAAGCACATAAATATGCACACATACACAGATACACTTAAAATCAAAAAAACTCTTCAAAAGAATTATCTTAAAACATTGAGATAGATCAGTGATTTCATGGTTTCCTTTTATTATTCTATCTTTACACGAGAACTCTGTACAACAAATTCATCATACACAAAAAAACATAAAATCCTTTAAGGAGCTGATATTTTATGTGCCAAAATTACAACCCAAATTGGAAGATGGAAGTCCTTGCCAGCAAGTGTTTATTTTTAAGACCCAGACAGCCTGCTCGCTACGGCAATTCCAGCAGGCACTGTGAAAGCACCAACGACATAGAAGAGATACAAGAAAGAAGCAAGTCGGGCTGACTTGACACTGCCCTGCAAACGGGATGAATTTGTGCTGTTCCCTTAGATACTAATAAGATTAGTCGCAAATATAAATGATCTTGTTCTCTGGGAGTCAGAAAGGGAAGCTTGCTGCTCATTTGGTTTCCCTTCAGCATGTGAAGTTGTCATTCAGTGTGCTCGTGCAGAGAGGCGGCTGGGATGTGAACACTGCTCCTGCCTGCAGTCCCACCTCTGAGATAACCACAGAAATTTCGGTGATTAGACCAATATTAAATTCCCACTGTGGCTTATTCTCTGTAGAAACTGAACGTAGAGTCTCAGGGTTCCTTTCAAGTTTGATGAACCCTGTTATCCCAGCCACATTGTGCTGCTGGACAAGGCAGTCTGCCCTTTACCCAGACACCATTGATGGTGTTGTCATGTGCTTTATGCTTCCACAGAGCTTGCTCTGGGAATTCTTGCAGTCAGGCGATGCACCAGGAGCTAGAACATCACAGGAGCTCTTAAAAGTTGTTGGAACCTGTGGAGGGAATGGGAGGAGGGGAGAGAGTGGGAACTTAGATTGGTATGTATAATGAAAAAAGATAGTGTGTGTTCTTTCTAAAAATAAAAAAAAAAATTAAAAATTGTTGTAACCCAACCTCTTCCCTCCTAGCTTATGACCTTTCTATGACCCAGCTTGTGATCCTGCTTGCTTCACTCTATACTCTCTCTGTGGCTTTCTGTCAATTTAACTGAGCATCTGGCCCTGACTACTTCCCCCCTCCTTCCAGCTCTTGAACTATGTTTTGTCCTTTGATGCCCTGGTGTAAGGCTGAGCCTGACTTGACTCCAGTTCTTCAACCCTTGCTGCTTTTGCTTGCTGTTAGTGTGGAATACCTCAGATATGGTCTCCTATTATTTAGGGTGTTTGCATTTCTCTTTCAGAGCAAAATCTTTGTGCATTATACTATGACTACAAGAGTTAGGTAAATATACAAGTGGGTATGAAATTTCTCATTTCCATTGTATACTGTCCCTAGATTATTAGAAATGGAATAGGTTTAGGAAACATAAGAAATTCTTAATAACATTTAAGAATTCTTAATAACATAAAATTCTAAATAACATTTGAAAGAAACTGCTTATTAAGAATTGACCAGTACTGTTAGGGGTAGTTGCATACTTATCTTAAAGGATGGAGAGTGGTGATGGTCCCTTTTTCTTCTTCACAGCAAAGAACTGTCATAGTGCACTCAATGTGGAACAAGAGGTCATTCTCAAAAGTGTGAGAGAGAAGGGGCAAGATGACCTCATATAGGAAACAGGTGGCTATCCTTTTATAGATGTGGGTTAATATGGTCGACAGACCCAGAGTTTTTATTTTTTATTTTTTGACAGAACAAACATTGCAATTGCTTCATTGAAATTGGCATTATTCTGGCAGAAGGCACCCATATTGAATCCTCAAATATTGCCAAACACAGAACTACAAAAAAAGAAAGAAAAGAAAAAAATTAATTCACAGAATTTTCAATCTCAATAATAAATGGAGAAGAAAAGAATGCTTGAAAGACCACATGTGTTCTAGGATTCTGCACTGGAAACAAATCTATCCCCTTACAGTTGGGTGAAGCTCCTAACAGAGCTCACTTTGAAGAAAAGAATGATTCTTGCAAGAAATGTAGCTCAGTGGTGGAGTACTACTTAGCACTGAGGGGCCCTAGGATCAGCCCACAGTGCCACACAAAAAGAAAAATTCTTGATGAATTGCTATATCCACTGTTCCTTATAGGACACAGAGTATGTGGCTAGTCTAGTGTGTTTTATAAAAAGTCTTTACTTTAAATGTCTATTAATTATCATCATGACTATGAAGAGCAGCCAAT